GATACCGATAATTCCCGATATTAAATTTTTTAGTGAATATCGGCCACATCCCTATGTAAAACATGTCCAACTGATCTATCAATATTCATATTCTCTAACTACTGTAGGTAACTTCAACAACAATACTAGCCTGATATCGAGGATCATCAGGGTGAACAGCTACAGCCACATCTCCCAGCATAGTCTCAGGACGGGTAGTGGACACTGCCACCTCTGCTTCTAAAATACAGTACAATCATAATATAACATGATAATCAAGAACAACATGTATCATATTCCCAGACAGTCACAAACACTTACCTTGGCCTTCTATAGGGTATGCAAAAGTAAGCATTGTTCCAAACTCCACCTTGTTTTCATAACCAGGAACAGACAGCATGGTCTGCCCAGACAGCTGCTTTGAGTCAACCTGACAGCAAATTCACAATTTTAAAGTTGACATACACATTCACTACAATTTTTTCAATACAGCAAAGGAATACAGTACAAAAGGAATGACGATCATGTCTAAAACATGTACAATAAGTGGACAAAATAGGGGAAAGGCTAAGGACTGTGTCTGTTTTTTGAAGGGTGCTAGGAACAGAGGCAGAATGGCGGTGGCTTCTTGGCTCCAGCTCCGAATTTCTTCTCAAAAGCCCCCCCTCAATCTCTCTGACAAATCAATGGAGCAAAGGTTCTATCACTGGGGAGATATTGCCATCTACAGGTACTCTGGATAAAGATTATAATATCATACTATAGTATTAAGAAAATATATCTAACTTTGACTTAATAAGATATTACAGCTAATTATGAGCTAAGTAACAGTTACAAGTTTTACAGAAAGTAGTCTAGTCCCAGTGTTGTAAATGAAGCAGCTGTTTAGTTTTTCACTGTTTAAATAAAAAATGCTGAAAATAAGAATGCTGCTGGTGCCTTCATTTAAGACAGTCAGTTATCTTTATTATGCTGGTTAAAGAAATTGTCTTATTGTAAAATTTGTTTAGCCAAATCTTAGATCCAGCTCAATAAAGTGACAAAAATACTTATTTTAGGAAAATCTATCCTAAATAAGTTGTCATTGCTTGTAATAAGCATAACTTGCTTACCTTTTTGGCATTTTGTCTCCTTTTAAGGTCCATGTTTTTATGTGTGTTTGTGC